AGGTTGGACATCAGGGGGAAATTCTTTACGGAGAGAGTGGTGAGGTACTGGAACAGGCTGCCCAGAGAGGTAGTGGATGCCCTGTCCCTGGAGGTGTTCAAGGCCAGATTGGATGGGGCCCTGGGCAGCCTGGTCTAGCATTAAATGAAGAGGTTGGTGGCCCTGCCTGTGGCAGGGGGGTTGGAGATTCATGATCCTTGAGGTCCCTTCCAACCCCGGCCATTCTGTGATTCTGTGATCAGAAAAAGAAACGAACAGCTGACTCAAAGCATTTGTATAATAAAAACACGACACCACTCGCTCACACTTTTCCCTAGATGAATACTGTAAACTACCTTTAAATACACATATATACATGCACATGTATATATACAGTCCCTGATTACAAGAGAGGCAGCAGTAAGATAGGTAGGGTGGAAGGATGGATGTTCTAACAGACTAGGCTACATCTTGGCACAAGCAAAACTTGTCAAAAACCTGAATGACCTAAATAACTGAATAAATAGAAAACAAAGTAATATAAAGAGATATGATTTTTTAAAGTGCTGATATTAATGAAATTATAATAAAATCTACTAATGGAATGGGTCTCATATTTTCATTCACTTTCAGTATGTTACTTATAGGCAGCCTTCAGACTCTACAGGGCACAGATGGAAGACCAACTTCACTAAGTATTTTAATGGAACCACTGATTTTATTAATTGTGGATCTTGCAGTAATATCCAATCATGTAAAGTAAGATTAAAGATTCTGACACTCGCTTCACAGGAACTAGCAAACAGCAATTCCCTCCTTTTCATACAGATTAATAAAATACTTAAAGTAATTACTCTGCATATACTAAAGGATTCAAACTGTTAATTGCATATAACTAAAAAAAACCCATGTAATTAATAAACCACAGAATCCCTGACATCACTATTTACATTCCTCAAGACAAAAACAAGTGCAAGAATACATGCCATTAAGCAACACACAATTAACAACTTTTTGTTTTAATTATCTTCAACCATAATTAATGGTTCTGTAGTTCATCTTTCTACTTTGATAGCTACTTAGACTATTTATGTAGATTAATTATTGATGTATTGGAATTTACTAATATATATTTTTAACAAGCCTCTGCATAACACTGACATCAGTGAGGGGATCTGTTCACTCACCTTCCAGGTCCAGATTCTGTCAGGCTTAAATGTTATTCTATAAATCTGGGCAATTTGCCACAACTGATAAAGGCTGTGACATTATTGAAAAAAGTCCTGTCACCTGAGGACTTGCTACTCTTTGCATCCCTTGCCAAATTTAGTTTCATGTCTGTCTTTCCTGATCCCATCTCTGCATGTCTAGACATCATTCCTGTACTCTTCTCAGGCCATACATCCCTGCTTCCACTGCCTATACTTTTCCTTCTTACATCTCAGTTTGACCAGCAGGTCTTTTCTCAGCCATGTGGGCATCCTACCTCCACTGCTTCATTTCTTACCCCGAGTGACAGACAACAAGTCACTCCTAAAAAGCTTCTAGCCCTCGACTGCAGCATTCCAGTTATGTGATTCATCCCACCATATTTCCATAACAGCAATCAAGTCATCATTTTGTAACTGCACTGTGGTTTCCAATCCCGCTTGTTTCCCATTCTGCACTGGTGTAAGAGGCACTTCAGCTGGACAACTGGACACATCATCGCTGTAGAGGAGCCTTCCCTAATTTCTTTGAGACAATTCATAGGTATTTCCCCATTGCTTCCTAAAGTGGCACTGTTCCCTAGCTCTGCTCTGTCATTCAGATATACAAGCTCTGCCCCAGCTGAATCTAGTTTAAAACTCTGCCAGTAAGTCCTGCCAGCCTGCTGCCAAGAACACTCTTGCCCCATAGATGCACCCCATCCAGTATCAACATGATCTTGAAGTTGCATTCAAGGTTATGGAACCTAACATGAGTATAGGTGAACTGTGAAAGATTAGATTTATACTACAGGGAAGAATCAGTGAGAATAAATGAATACGGCAGGGGGCAGAGTGGGCTTTTATGTGTGAAACTGTTGTATTTCTTACCTCCAGAGCTTTCAAACGCTCCAATAGCAATTTTGTCTTTTCTTTTTCCTCTTCAGTGCTGTTGCTTTCACTTCTTGAATCTTCATCTACTGCTGTGTGATTTTTTTCCATACCTTCTTTGCATTTCCTACTGTCTTCTGACAGCTTTTCCTGAAACAATTTTTTTAAATGTCATTACTCACAGGAAGAAATGAAGTTAACTATACAGGTATCTTCAGATCTCCCTTTATACAAATTAAAAAAAGACAGAGGAAGTTACTATTTATTGTAATTACTAAATGGAGTCACGAAGGGTTTGTTAAATATGCTGCTAGGCCAATTCAACAATGAACTACTACACTTACATTAGATTTTTACAATTTGGAACTCATCTTTTTTTAATAGAATAACTTGCATTTTCTTTAAAAGTTGCAATGAAAATTGAACACACTATCTTTCAATGGAAACACTGAGATATAAAGTAGTTTATTATTAAGGAAAAGCAAACATCATGTCCGATATACTTAACTTTTTCATCATCTTGAGCTAAGATCTGAGGTGCTAAATATTGGGCTAAAAACCAAACTATTACCCAAATGCTGATTTTAAGATCCACACTAATATACAACTGACAGCAAATTTTTCAGAAGTGCCCTCACTTCTTATAGGACACTCAGATTGGGTATTATTAGCTGCTGCTGTTTAATCACTGTTTAGTTTTAAAAGATGTCTACAAAAATCCTAAGTTTGAATGCTGAATCACTCTAATACCATTAATTATACATAAAGAGTAAGGAAAATATCAAGATTACAAGCAGAAAGCAAAAATGCTATCTAAGCGAAAGAACGTGTATTTTCACGAAGAACCAATCTAACTTGAATAACTGCAAATACTGATAACTCTTCAAGAGCGAAACATTGTCTTAACTAAAATCCATAAACACAAATGAATTAAAAATCAGCACTGTGAATCATGTTTAGCCCATCTTTTTAAAAATCGAGCTAGATTAGAAATGGACTACTACCATGTTAGAACTTAAATCAAAAATCAGTTTTATAAGTTATGGGCTCACTCAATGAATATTCTGACACCAACCATGAGGCACAGAGCCTCAGAAAGTTTACTTCAAAGAGCCATTCCATCAGGCATCCAGCATTACTGTTGTCATGATCACAAAGGAACCATAAGTATAGTCATGTTTTATTCTTGCTTGCTACTCCCTGGCACAGTGATAGAGCATCCATAAAAGAGCCATTAAACCATTTTCCCTTCAAGTTATCTTGATGAGTGCATTTCAATGAACTCAAAACCTAATTTAACATAGGTACCTCTTTGTTGTATTTCAAACACAAACAGTTATTTTTAGGAGAGAGAGAGAGAGAGACACGTACGGGATGTGGCTCACATACATAGAAGAGATAGAAGAAAGTATAGCCTGTGATATTTCATCACAGAAGGGGGAGTAATGCAACTTCAATCAGAGTAAATCCCTGACATCTATCACCTAAGGAAGTAACCCATTCATCTTCTAATTACAAAATCTGATGAACTTGGCACAGTAATGGCATATTCAAGAATAAATATCCTGTGATATCCTATGATGTGCATGAGAAAATATCTAAATATTTAATACTGTTACCTCTGCCTGAATGTGTAAGTACAGCTCACACATTTACTAATAAACCGGTGTATATCATGAGCTCTATCTGGAAAAGCTGTAGAATAAATATAATTTGTGCTTAAAATCAAGTTAAGGGGGAGATGACCAAGGCTTTGGGTAGGACAGATTCCTGCTAATGTCAAAGAAAGCTGCTGCAAGGAGGAGGCAGAGAAGGGTAGAAGAGAGAATCTTGCAAGAGGAAATACAGGTCTCCTACATGATGCTGATTAGCAAAAAAATGGGATAGAACAGCTTGCTCTTTTTTTCCCCCTAGGTTCCTACACTGCTTGTGTTACCACTGTTTGAAACTTCTAAAACGTCTCTGTTGTATGCCTCATGTATTGAACAATTAAAGTCGGGCTGGATTTGCAAGCTGAAGAGCAATATACTCTCAGGTCAGAAGTACAGCAAGGCAGAGCAAACGCTATCCTGCTGATCAATGCAGTTTCATTTCTATGAAGAGGTTCCAGGTGGAAACTGTGCTCTGGCAGTAAGTTGGGCAGGCAAAAATAATAGCAATGAAAGACAAACCAGAGCCCCGCTCTTGATCTCCCCAGAGCAATTAGAATTCAAGACTCAAGCCTATACTGATATGCGAACAGCCTGATGAGAATTCTACAGTAAAGCTTCATTGACGTCTCTAATACTCTATGTCAACAAAGAGACAATAAGAATATGAAATATTCAAATCTTTCTATACGGAAACCAGGATTATGCTCTTCACTGCAGACCTGTTCCCACTGAAATTAATGAGAAACTTACTATCTAGTCCCATCTTGCAGAAGCTTCTCAAGCTGGTTTAAACTGTTGCTGCTTTCCTGAAACCAACAGTATGGTGCAAATCTCAAATGACATCCTACCCTGACCATTATTTCTACGTACACAGTTTGCTCTATAAATCAAACAAATAGTATACTGACGATGAACCCTTTGATCAAACACTGCAGGTCCTACAGCCAATAGAAAACAACAGATGAAAACACAGCCAGCATCCTGGAAATGGCAAGCTTTCTAGAATCAATGGGAAGATATAAATCACTGAAGACACTGATCTATGAAGCCATACAATGCAGTGACCTGACTGAGACTCATTACAAAGTTGGCTTTCAGTTAGTTGAAGTAGAAAATAACAATAAATTAAGAGAGCAGGAAATATACTTGGAATTCCAAATGATAATTTTTCTGGAGTATGTGGGAATATAAATAAATGTTTAAAGCCAGTCTTGCCCACCTTTGAAAGTGCAGGACAAGAAAGTGTTTCCACTTTTTATAAATAAAGGAATGACCAAAGTGATAGGAAAGATCATATGGAAACTTGCAAAAAGATGAAAGACATCAAACTAGTTATTTCAGAAACCACGTCCTCCTTTTTACCAGGTAGGCAATAAGCTGAGCCTTTGGAGCCAGCATTACTCACTGGGAGCTGAGTTCAGTGCCCTTCCTTCAAGAAGTCAACTTTCCAAGGAACAGACAAATGTCAAAGGGATGCTTAGACAGCTATTTCTTACCCACTGCCACCTCAAAACTGTACTTTTAAAGTTTCATTGGTAATATCTTGGCTTGCCCTTCCTTCTCTTTCTTCATTCTTAAGTTGTTTTTTAGGAATTACAGCATACACACGTGCAAAGGTGGAAAAAAATGAATCCCATTTAGAATATTTCAATTTGCATCTACAAAACATCAAAACAAGACGGCTAAAAGTCTGACGATGCAAAGAATGATAATAAAAAAAAAGCTCAGAAGAAATCTGTTCTAGATTTCCTTTTTTACAATGACAAAAAATGATCAGGCATTAATTGGAATCAGGGCTCTTCTCTAGCCGTAACGACAAACACATTACGTGAAATGATCACATAGCTCCTTAGGCACCTCACATTCCAATTTTTCCTAATTTGCAATTTTACAATGCAGGAATCACCTATACAAATTAAAAACCTTTAAGAAAACAGGAATCTTTAACACTGTTAACCAAGCTGCCACAAGAGGAGATCTCATTGAAAACATGAAAAAAAGAAGCAGCTGCAGTACAGCCTATGCTATAGCTGCCAGCATGAGAAATGGAAAGTCTCACACTAAGGAAGGAAGGACCTCATGCACCAATACAGGTCAGGAAACAACTGCACAGAAAGGTATCTGATAGTAGGAAGCAGAGAAGACAGAGGCAAGGCTTTTCTTAGAAGCTGCTTGATGAGAAGATCTTTTTGAACACGTTAGAACATGATCATGATCTTTTTTTTTTTAACATGAAGGTTGATATATGGTCACTGGAACAGGTTATCCAGAGGATCTTGAATCACAGACATCGCAAAGTTCACTGGAGAAGTGGCTACAGTAATATAACATGTTATAAATGAATCTGTACTTTACAGTACTGATTATAAACAGCAATACTTCCCAAGGTCACGTCACAAAATTCTGCTTGAGTCAAACAAGAATTTTAAAAAGATTGAGATCTTTGAGATGCTGATTTTCTCAATGAGTATTTGATGATGACTTGTTTGTCTGGAAGTCGACAAGTAATAATTAGAAATGGCATCCTTACTTACAGAAGCTAAAGATCATGCTCATATGATTAACACAAATTCCTCCACAGAAGTACAGCATTTTGGATGCAATGCAGTAAAGATCTCTCAAACTATCTCTGTGCCCATTTACAATGTCAGATTGTGATGCTAGAATTCATTTTTTTTCTTTTTAAATTCCTTTTCATTCTTCAACTTCTGAAATGTATACGTATATATATTGCATATTGTACATATATGATTTTATAAGGGTTACAAATTCAAATTATTCTGATTAATGCCTGCATTTTTCCAAATAGCACACTTAAGTCACACACACACAAGAAAAAAAAATATATAGAACGCATATTAATTTAGTGCTTATGATTGCTTAGAAACACTTGAGAAAAAACTGAGCATTTTTTGCAGTGGAATTACTAGCAGATTATATAGTCAGTGGCAGCATGCAGCCCAGAATCCAGCCAATGTGGAGCCCAAGCTCACTAGCTCAGTGCTTGAAACCATTTAGCACTTCCCATGAACATGTCTCAGAAGCTTCCCCAGGCCTTTTGAAAAAAGGTAGGCACTGTACAGTGTCTTGGATTTCACTAACTAATTGGTAATCCAGGTACATTCCTTTAGTTGCACACTTTTAACACTTTCCTGCTGTCACAAAGGCACACTGTTAACCTCCAAAACCTGAGCTGCAATTTATGAAACCATATACAGAATTGCGTATGTGATAATAAATTCTAAATTTTGTTTCTTGCAAGGCCATTCTATAGTCTTGATATATTCATAGACTATGTACTCTCAGTGTATTTTCACTGCAGACCTCCTAGTGTTCAGCACTATTCTTCACTGCAAGTGAGCGATATGAAAAGAGAATGTTCAGACTGCCAATGTAGATAAAAATAGTAGATGAGGGTTTCTTTGTACTTGCACGAAAAAACAGCCCCAAGCTATGCACAATGAGCTCAAACAATTTGACTGCACAAACTGAAAAAAG